TGAACTATTTGTTATTTATTTTATTTCGTATTTTAAAACTCATTTGAGGGAAAATAATAAAAACAAGTATCAGTATTGGATGAAATGTCCATCATTAAAACTAACAATAAAAAGACATACAACACTTCTCAGACTTTATAAAAACATTTTCATTGTAGTTATAAACAAAAATTTTTAATTCTTATAATGAGATGATGTATACTAATTCGAGTTTATTCATTTTTTTGTTTACAATAATAGAATAGGTGTTGATTTATTTAAGACGTTTTATTCTAAAAACTCCAACAAAGTTCTTTTGATATTACCCAAGTCAATAATAAAAAGTACCTGTTTTAATAAACTGAAAAAATGAACTGTAAAAAGTAATGCAACAGATACAACAGTCAATTTTATTTGAAGAAATGACTTTATCTTTTCTGAGAGAAGAACTTTTTCTTTTAACACACACCACCCAACCATACTCTTCAATAGTCAAACTGTATTTAAAATATAATGTACACTCACTCTATGTTCCACAAATAGAAAAAGTACCCAACACAGACAGTACCCCAATCCAGACATCTGAAGGGTTAGAAATTATCGAGAAAAACAAAAATTCAAAAAATTTTGACAAAGTTGAAAAAAATGAAAAAATCGAAAATTCTCAACACGAAAAAAAGGATGATGACGATGACACAATCGAAACTGACGATATTGAAATCAAAATGTTACGACAGAAACTCCAAAAGAAAAAAATCAGAGAAAGCCAACTCAAAGATACAACCAAACCTTCCAAAAAGAGACTTAGAGAAAGGATCAGAAGTTCTCTCATAACTGACGTGGGTGATGAGATAAAGATAAAAAACTTTACCAAAACAGTCCGAGAGTGTATGAAAAATGGAATTTAATGTTTTTGTGTTTTGTATTAATGAAATATGCCTTCAAAAAGTCTTATTATAGGTTTGACTATTAATACAAAATTGATTAATTCTGCGATATTAATGGTCAGTCAATTCGAATAATTAAACTATAAATTATAATAAAATAATAATATATAGTTATGGAGTTGGATGTAGGCATTTCATTCAAACATTTTTGGGTTGTAATAATGGGTGTTTAAAAAAACAACAATCTCAAATGTATAATCAAAAATTGACAAAGTCAAATTTTTTTAATTATTAAAATAAATAATGAAACTATTTATTAAATTTTAGTAATAATTACTATAATTATACCATTTTAGTATATGATCTGACATCAATAAAAATCATTGTACAAATTTGTTGCCACGTCAATGTTTCTTATCAAATCAGAACAATTATTTATTAAATAATAAATTTTATTATACTACGATTCTATTTAATTCAAACATAATAATGACAAATTAAATATCACTAATTTATAAGAACGCAAATAAAATAGTATAGTGTATATACATTCAATTATATCAAGTTATTCTAATAAACAACAACAAAATAAATTTAAAAATATGATACTTCTTATAAAAAGTAACAAAAGTTAAAGAATAGTAAAATTAAAGGAATTAACTAGCCCAATTAACCATTCAATTTCCGTTTAAAAATACTTTTAATAAAAATAGCATTCCGAAAAACGTCCAATAAAAGCCAACTTGAGATAGTAGTAGTAAATGGAGTGCTCCGGCTGTCACAAGACTTTTCCATCAGTAAATAGTGGTGTTAAAGGCCAACAATGGTGCGACGACTGTTTCAACTTTAAAACGTGTGAATATTGCCATAAAGTGATCAACAGAAACATGTTAAGCTTAAAGACTTACCAAGGAAAGGATTATCACATGGAGTGTTTCAAGTGTTGTTCCTGCAAGAATCGTCTCCGCAAAGACCCGATCGTAGTCGGCTCGAAGTTTTATTGCCAAGACTGTGGTCAACCCTGCCCAAAGTGTGGCAGACCAATAGGTAAAGAGTTTATGGAGCTGTTCGACAAGAAGTTCCATGAACAGTGTGTGACGTGTTGTAAATGTGGTCGTGGGATAGCTGACGAGCAAATATTCGAATGGCAAGGACAACCCGCTTGTGCTGTATGCATCGAGTTGTTAGACGTCTAAGACACACTTGAAACCATTAATTCAATAGTTAATATACTATATTATTTTAAAATTATATAATATTATATTTTAACTAGTTACAGAGTTATTAATGATATTTAATTAATATATTAATATAATTAATATTAATTATATTTAATATAACAACTATTTAAACAGTTCATATAATGAATAATAAAATGAATTATTAATATTAATTCAACCAATTCTATTCTATTATTATATTTTAACTATAAACAGAGTTATTTAAATTTAATTAACCATTTATAATAATGAATAATAAAATGAGTTATTAACAGTGCAACAGATCCAAAGAGTTATTTTTCCTTAACTGGTTGATTCTTTTGTGGTAAAAAGGATCCAGCAATAGCTTTCAAGTTAGTGTGTGATATATGGATACTTCTTAAAAACTCGTCGGGGTTTTGATCTTCCATAAAGAGATGAGTAAAGATTTGAATGATCTCTTCCACTGCTCCACTTTGCCGTTGTCCCATCCCGGCCTTTTTCTCGAGAAGTGCTGCTGTTCCCGAGAATATTTTACTCAAAACAACACGACGAGTTTCTTCGTCTCTTTTTGTCTTTGTTGGTTTACAGAACTTTTCTTTGAGGATTTTAGCGGTCTCCAAACAACTTTTCTTTTGCAAATTGGCCATATGAAAGACCTCTGAGATAATAGCGTTTTTGGAGGTGTCGACCTTCTCTTGTTTATCGTCGACCTCCGGACATAAAAACATTGGAAATGGATTTGCATCGCAATTTTGTTCTCCCAATTTATCGGACAAGAAAGGGGATGGTGGTAAAGCCTCACATCCCAATGGAGATGTTGAATTGAGGTCTTTCTTCTCGAGTCTCTGCTTCTCTCCTCCACCATATTCATCTCTATAGTCTTTTCTTTCTTGTGACATATGAGGCGGTTGAGGAGGCATCATTGAACTTGGTATAGGTAATTGAAGTGAGTCATTCATTGGTTGTTGGAGTTGTGATAAGACCTCATTGACGGTATTTTGTGCCAATGGATGGACCATTGGGTGTGATGCGGGAGTACTTGCGATCCCATTTAAAGTAGTATTAATACTAGTATTAATACTATTATTTATACTATTTGTCTCGAGAAGGACTTTTTGTGGATTAGTGTTATTTTGGTCTTCAAAATTGCTGTCAAAGTCCATTGTGATTTTTGCGTTGCGGGAGGGGCGTTTGTGTTTCTTTTCCCCTAAATATTTCATCACCTCTTTTTTCGCTTGGCTCCGATACGCATCTTCTCTCCTCTCAAAATCTCGTTTGAAAACTTCGTATTTGGGGTCCGTGTACTTCTCACATGTGTTTCGGTGATTTTTGTTACACGCATACAGAAAACACCGGGAACAAAACGGACAATAGTACATCGTTTTTTTATCTATGGTTACTGGGATTGTTGCAAATTGTTCAACATTTTTTCTTGCGTTTTCACTACGGCGTTTTTTCACATCACGGGTCTGTTTCTCGCGTGGGGGCTTTTCCATCGGTGTGTGTTTTCGAGTTGACACTCGTTCTCTCTAATCGAAACAACAGTAATTGTACCATTCAAATAACTATTAATATGCTATATTTTACTATTATTGTACTAACTTAGTCTTTCTTGAGGGGTTTTGGAAAAGAGAAAAATGTGAATTTGGTATTTTGATGTTATAATTAACGTCTGTTTTATATATTTATATCGTGTAATTTACGTTATATTTATTAATATTTTTAGATATTTTTTTGGGTTTAATTAACGTGTTTGAGTTAAAAAGTTAACGTTATATTTTTTTATTCGTATATTAAAAACAATGTTAATAAATTTTCAACAAAATTCAATTTGTCACAAATTTTCAAGAAAAACATCAAAGATCACAACCAACTCTTTATATTATATTTTAATTATATTAAAAATTATAATATACTATATTTGAACATACAACCCTAAACTTTGATTTTACAGTTCCTTCACTAAACTTTGGTTTTTACTTTTTAAATATTAAAAAATAAACTAAAAAAAACATTTTTAATAACAAAAGAATATAGTTTTTAGAATAAATAATTTATACTATAAGGTTATAAAAAGATATAAAAATAAAAATAATATAATATTAAAAGTATTTTTATATTTAAAAATGTATTATAAGAAGATATAATACATAATTAAACTAATAGTACATTAAAAATAAAATGTGACGTATTTTTCTGTTTCATTGAAAAATCAAAGAACTCCAGTTTTATACTTTTAACCACAACAATAGTACGAAAAATAGAGACAAGAAACAATTTTAGTGTCCAGAATTGCTCTTATTTTTCATTTATCTGTTCAATCAAAAAATGCGAGTGAACCCAAAAATCAAAGGATGTTTATTTTCTTTATTTCTCTTGTGTCATCCTGTGAAATTAACGCGTACTCAAAAAACGGAAATTGCACACTTTGTGATGTCAATTGTGCGGATCAATGTGTGAACGAAATTGGGTGCACACTCTGCAAAGACTCATATAAAGTGTCAAATGGAAAATGTGTTGAGCGTTTGTTGTCGAGTTTTCTATCGCATATTGCTTTAAAATTATCGACAATGATAAACTATATTTAATAATTGTTTTACTATAATATAATAGTTCGGCTCACGACCTTCCAAAATACGAGATGTTCATCTGTAGAGTGCCCGTATTGTGAGAAAAGTTATTGTAATGGAACGGCATGCTCGTCGTGTGTCGTTGGGTATTATGTAAATAAAGGAAAGTGTTCAAAGTGTGACATTCATTGTAACCAATGTTCACAGACGTTGGGATGTATGAGCTGCATCCATGGGTATTCTGTTCTTAACATGAAATGTACAAAAAATAAATTGGACGATGGAGACTATGTTCTCATTGCCGTTGGGTCTTTTTGTGTTGCTTTATTGCTTGTTGGAATTGCACATAAACCCATCGGAATGCTTTTTAACTACATAACAAAGAAGAAAGATTCACTTCCCATATAGAGTGCGTGTTTAGTTAATTTAATAGCTTGTTATAGTTTACTGTGTTATTAGTAAATTAACTTATTAATTTTTAACTCGCCGACAACCCAATACTGCTCTTTTTAACAGTTTTTTTAAATTTGTCCCAAAACTGTTTAAATATTTTTGAAATATTATTAGGTGATTTTCCTGAAAAAATAGATAAAAACAAATAATATAAAATTATCATAATGGAATTATTTTTATTTTTTAAATAAATAAATACCAAAAAATCGTTTTGTGCATTTATTTTTTTATATAGAAATTTAAAAGCAAAACAGAACAAAAATTACAACCAAAATAATAAAGAGTTGGTGGAAAAAGTCAGCTTTAGCAAATTATATTAAAATATAATATTTATTGTTATAAATAAAAAACATTTTATATCATTTTAAAAACATTAATTAAAACAAAAAAATAATTAAAAATACTTGTAAAACCAAACAATGGTTGATTTTTTAATATTCCCGTTAATACAATTGACGTTTCGGATACATAACACAGTTTTGTTGTTATGGTTGTATTACCCCATAAACAGTCAATTGTGACCACTTGATGTTTGATTTTGTAATTGAAAATGATGTTTGGCAAATATAAAAGAAAGCAGTTTGAAAGATATCAAATTAATCATTTGATTTATTATTTAATAAATACAACACAATTCAACAATAAAAAACTTAAATGTAGCATTTTGAAACAATTAATTTATAACAACAAATTTTGACTTTTAAATATATTAAAGAAACCCCCAAAACGCAGCGAATATTTAAAAATGTCACTCATTCAATCCAGTCATGAGTTGAATCAATCTCTATGTGAAAGTGTCATTATGTAAAATCAACTGAGATTGATTATGGTAGTAGCTTATAGTTTTTAAATATTCAATTTCTGTATTTAATTTCAAAAAAATTGTCTCAATATCTAAATTAAATTTGTGTCCTGCTCGAAAGTTATATAAATTTTAATAATATAAAAATACAAATAATAACCAATAAAAATGGCTGTTCATAATAAAATATAGTTAATCTTATCGAGATAGAGTATTATATGCCAACTCTGAGAAAATTATTCATAAAATCTAAAAATGATGATAAAAAGCACACATAACTAACATTATAATTGCTATTTCTTGTTTGACAAAACAAATAAATTATAATAGTCGTAATAAAAAAAATAAAATTGGTTGTGTTCACTGAATGACGCAAATTAATATTTGTAATTGATATTAACATTGAGTAACATGCTTCTGTGTCATAGTGAAATGATAAAGTCGAAATAGTTGTAAAATATTATAACGATAAAACGAATCCATTATACATCGCTTTTACAGACAATGATGTTTCTGCAATTGATTATCAAGCAACCCAAATATAAATAATAATAATAATAATAATTTAAAATTTTTAATTGACAATAAAAAGATAAATTACTCATAACGTAAAAAACAACAAAAATTAAAAATATATACCAAATAAATCAATAAAATAGCATTGATAAACAAAGAAGTTTGATTTTTTGTTTTTTGAAAAATTAAAAATATAGTTGTGGTTTACCTTATTCATTTTAAACACTCTTTTCAATAGATTATTAAAATAAGTAACTATATACATCAACTTGTCAACAGTCATTAACAAACAATTGGTTAAACAGTCCATGTATTAGACAAAAAGTCGGACAATAATATAAAATATGTGGATTATATGTAATGAAGGGTAATTGTTATAAAAACAATATATATTTAACACTAAAAACTGTTTTCAATGATTGCTTGTTATATTTTAATTTCTTTTGATAAACATTCTTCAATAGATTAGTCACAGTATAGTAAATACCAAAAGATGAAAAAAAAATGTATTATAAACAAAAAAAGTCAAAAATCTTGCTCCATCGTACTGTCTGAAAAAAAATACACAGTTAATAATAAGGGTTTTTTGAAAAGTTTATATTTTTTTATAAAGACTATTGTGTGTACATATATTTTGTGTGTTTTTTAATTATCATTAACGTTTTTATGTATCTTTTGCAATTTGTATTTCATTTTCAACTCAAAACCAATAGTTTTTTTTGTTTAGTGTATAAAAAACATATTTATTTGTTTTGGAATAAATGTTATTACATTTTACCAGTATTCTTATTTTGCCATTTTTTACTTTTTTATCATGAAATTTTATATTTTTTTTCATTTTTTTCACATTTTATTTGTTTTTTAGTTCACGATTTGAACTCGTTATTCCATTTTCATTATACTATAATTGAACTACACTGTATAATATATTTTTTTTCAAAAAAACAAAAACACTGCTCTTTTTAACAGTATTGGTTTGTTGGGGATTAGGTACGTCGGCGAGTTAATTTACTTATTATGAATTAAAGTGAATTAACTTTTTTATTATAATTTATTGTAATGAAACCCCATTTCTTTATTTCCATTTTTGAAATATTTGAAATAATTTATTTCACAAAATAGAATGAAGTTGTTTTATTTTAATATTAAATCGTTAGTTATTAAAATTCTTTAATTTTAGACACCATCATCAGAAAAACTAAATGCGTTAAAACATGAAGTTAAGAAAAACCCGAGACACAGAAGACATATAATTATCAATATGAGCATTTTTTATCCGACGGCGTGTGGATCTTGCAACTTACCTTTGTTTTTAATTGCGTTGTGTATAATTTCGATGATAAGGTAGAACCAATATGCGTGCAATACCCAGAGCACGCATAACAGCCCGACAAGTAGCCAATGAACGTATTGCCCTGTGGCACCCTCTGGAATATAATTTCTTGCGTTGATTGCAGCTGGGATGATGTCGAATCCGAGTGTGATGAGTCTGAATCTCAAGAACGAATATGCGATGAAGAAAAATCCACAGTAGACTGGAACTTGATTTGGCATATCATTAACGCTTTTACTCAAATACATAATTGCGTCGACGATATCGTGGAGCACCAAGACGAGTGCTCCTATTCTCAGACAATTATTACAGTAACTGAGGACAATCAAAAAAATTGTCGCAAGGTGGTGAAGTAAGTTTTCGAAGTAATCATTTCTCTTCTCGCTCTGCATGTGGAAGACGAGTGAGTGTGTGTGATACCCAAGTTCCCAACAGTAATAGACAAAGAGCATTGGGCTTTGTTCTTGGAAAGGGTAACCGTCCCATAGTAATTCCAAATCTTGTTTCCCAACACCAAAGAGTCCCTTTGGCATCCAGTCTTCATGTTTAAAAAGAAGAATGCCGAGTGGTGCGCTGATCCAGAAGTAGATGCCTTTGAATAATACCAGAGCAAATCGTTTCACTCGGAACTTTCTGACTCCAGGCCCCCACCCGGGTTTATAGTAAATGAACTTATCGCCAAATTTGGGAAATAAATTCTCAACGAAAATGACTCTGAGAGCATAGACGACAGCAAATGGGATAATGGCCCAAAGGAGGTTCATTGGGTTCGGGATAGTATCAGAGTGATACTCTGCACGTCTGTTAAAAGACGTTGGGATACACAGAAGGACAAATGGGAGAATGACGAGGATCTGTGTTATATTGAACTTGTCTTGTTTTGTTAGTCCAGACAAGGTCAGGAACTTCATGCTGAAGTGTTTGGAGAATTTGAGTTCACTGAAGCCCCAAATTACCTCTCCTTCCGCCAAACAGCAAATATGAAAAATGGATTTTGTTACGATTTACTAATATTTATTAATATTTTTTTTATAAATATAACAATTGGTCTCTCAAAGTTGTGTTGGTAAGTCGATGACGGAATACAATAAAGAAATTGAGGAGCAGACCGCTTTTTTGTTTTTTTATCATTTTATGGTGTTTTTATATAATTTATTGTTAATTTCAATTACTATATTGCTTAGTTTTTATTTTTAGTGTTTTTGGCTGACTAAATATAATTGAAAAGTCGCCACGTGTCTTCATTTTTTGCTATTATTTAGATTTGGATAATTTACCTGGGTTTACCTGTTTTTTATCCAATTTTGACAATAAATTTATCGCAATACTTTTCGGTTGAAAAGGGGCTAACTTGCGTGTTTCTCTTTCCAGAATTGGAGCAGAACGAGGCAAAAAAAGTGGATTTGGAGCAGACATGGTACAAAATAACTATTAATTATAGTTAAATGTTAATATATAATAATTTAGTTTTAAAACACAAAAAAATTAATCAAAAAATAGTTAAAAAAAAGTTAAGTTGAATTGTTTGATGGTTTTTAAATATAATTATAATGATATATATATAATATTTTTTTATTATTAGTTATAGTAATGTTGGTTTTTGGGTCACCACAATTTTGAAAATGCTGATGATTCTTTTAACAGTAATATCGATGAATTATTGAATTAAAACAAATATTTAAAAAATAAACTATTTTAATTAAAATCATTTTTATTTAATAATTATAATTAAAAAAATCATATACAATTGTATCTGTAATATTTTAAATTTTTATTTTAACAAGACATACTAATTAATTATAAATAAATTAAATTATTTAATTAGTTACAATTAATAATTAATTGTAATAAAAAAGTCATTCATAATTATAAAATAATATAATAAAAATATAATTAATTGAGTAACAATTAAAAAAAATTTTTTGAAATAACAAAAAAACCATTTTAAAAATGTTATTAATATTTGTATTGTTTCAATTATAAAAATAAAACGATCTACCAAAAAATGATTTATTACTATTAAACAACAATTATTTAAACTATTTGAAATAATTAAAAGAGATAATTAATTAAATATGACATATCAATCATACCAGAATGCCCAAAAAAATTAAGATAAGTCCCAAGTTCAGTGTTTAAACCAATACTCCCGTTTTTATAGATATTTTAATTTGTAATATAAATAAACAAAATGATAATTTGGGAAAAATCATTTTTTTGGAAACTCTGAACATACCCATTAGTTCCCAAAAATGCGCCGACTGTTTTACCACAAAAAAAAATACTTTAATTTTAGCCAATATTAATGTGAAACAGCGGGATTAAACTCCTAAAAAAGGCACCCAAAAATGCGATAAATAAAAATAAGTTAAGTGAAGGACATTATAGTCCCAAATACCATAAAAACACGGGAAAAAAAATAAAGAAATTATTGTGTCTGTTTTTCATTTGACAATCTTCTTTTGAATTCTCGTAACCAAATCTATTGAAAACGAGCTGAACTTAAAAAACGCAATTCAGATATGTTCAGAAGAAAACAAAAACAGCAAATTGACACATCCTACACCTCCGTGATTGATGGCATTGAGAAGATATACGACACAAAACTTCACAAGTTAGAGGCAGACTACTTATACAACACCTTAGTTTCTCCAGAGATGAAAAAAGCTGATTTTGAAGCCAAGCCGATGGTCTTATTTTTAGGGCAGTATTCGACGGGTAAGACGACATTTATTAAGTTTGTGAATAATTTTAATAATTAATAAATTAATTAATAAATTATTAATTAAATTATTAATTAAATTAAATGTGTAAGACTTACAATCAGTTACCTTCTGAATTATGACTATCCGGGGTCAAACATTGGCCCAGAACCCACAACAGATGGATTTATGGCTGTTATGCATGGTGCAAACAATTCAGTGATTCCAGGGAATACCCTTTGTGTGCAGTCGGACAAGCCATTTACTTCATTGAGTAAATTTGGCAATGACTTTATGGCCAAGTTCAATGGAGCGATGTGTAATTTGCCGTTATTAGAGCATTTGACCTTCATAGATTCTCCTGGGATATTATCAGGTGAAAAGCAGCGGATAGGGAGGAATTATGACTTTATGGAAGTAGTCCGTTGGTTTGCGGAGCGTGTTGATATGATAGTATTAGTCTTTGATGCGAACAAGTTAGACATTTCCGATGAGTTTAAGCGGGTAATTGAAGCGGTCAAGAAGCATTCCGAGAAGATTAAAATAGTCTTGAACAAAGCGGATTCAATCACACCACAGCAGTTAATGCGAGTGTATGGAGCTTTAATGTGGTCATTAGGAAAGGTGATGCAAACACCGGAGTGTTTACGAGTCTATGTTTCTTCCTTCTGGGATCAACCATTAAAAGATTCGATGTTTGTCCCACTCTTTGAGAGTGAACGTGACGATTTAATGCGCGACTTACATGATTTACCCAAATTGGCGACAACTCGAAAAGTCAATGAAATCTGTAAAAGAGCAAGAATAGCTAAAACTAATGCTTACCTTGTCTCTTATTTAAGAGACCAAATGCCTACCTTTGGAAAAGAAAAGAAAAAAGCCGAATTGATTGCCGGAATGAACGACGTATTTAATGCAGTGATGATTAAATATCAACTCACCGCTGGCGACTTCCCTCCTATCGAAGTCTATAAGGAACGCCTCCAAAATGTCGACTTCGCAAAATTCCCAAAACTCGATATGAAACTCCTCGCCGCAGTCGATGAGGTACTCAGCACTGACGTCCCAACACTTCTCAAGAAATTCCCAATGACGGAGGATAAACCTCACTCGAATCCTTTCGAAGCTGCTACGGGTTACGAAAAGGCAGTCGAAATCCTTTCTATCACAGAAGACGAAGAAATCACTTATGAAAAAGAATTCGACAAGTTGCCAAAAGACTCGACTGGGCGCGCTGAAGGTTCAGACTGTCTCAAGCCGTTATCGGCGTCGGGGGCAAGTAAAAAGGACTTGAGAAAAATTTGGACTTTGGCAGACTCGGGGAGAAACGGGTCACTCAACGCGCACCAATACATCTTTGCAAAGGCACTTGTTAGGTGCCTACTTGAGTCAGGTAATTATCCAGAGAACCTCCCTACAGTGGAGTAGTGGTTACTTCAATACGAAGTAACCACGATAAACACTCTTCGACTTTAATCTAAAGATTGAACTATTCTTTTACTAGACAAAAACAAGTCATTTTGAATAATTCAAATATACTATTATTTACTAATAAACGATACCAAATTATTAATTATTAGTTATTCTATTCTTATAGTACATATGGTCATATTAAATATTTATAATAAACTACTAATAACGAATAGTTCAACATATTTACTTTGCTTCTTCTTCATCCTTTGGAGGGGCGGGCTTTCGAGTCATCACTTTTCTGACGACGGCGAAGATGAACAAGCCAATGAAAATCAAACAAGAGACTCCAAGGACAATCAACGATATAGTGAGTTGTGTTGCGTTCAAATCTTCCTTTGGTTTGTTGCACTTTCCATCATCGTCTGGTTTGATGTTGTCAATGAAGAGACAGTCACACTTGTTTCCGTTGAATTCATAATACTCGTCGCAGTTCATTGCGTCGAGGTAATAGAAGTCACCGGAACATCCGACTGTTGAGAGCTGAACTCCTTTAGTGAAATTGGTACAAAGATTGTCATCCGTCTTTTCAAAGATATATTGCACATAAACAAAGATTGAGTCTTTTTGATAGAAGACTACTTTGGTCGATTCACTCGAGCACCCACTCATGAAAATAGAAACAGTCGAAGTCTCTTCTATTTGAGTCTTATCAGTACACTTGTTCGATGGGATATGGATATATCCAAATGTTGTAGGACGTTCCGTTACAAGAGCAGAAGCTTCTATAGTCTGTGTCTTTTGTTCTGTTTGTGTCGTGCAAGTCTCGTCTGAGTAAGTCGTTATCGTTAATGTTGTATCTACCTTCTCATATTTTTGATAAGAACTGGCAACATAGGTACACACATTAAGTGGATAATACGTCGTAACACCACTCCCTTTCTCTGCATAGAATTCGGCACTTAAACTTAACATAGAAAAAGTCAAGACTATGAAAATACTCATCGTTTCTATTGGAACTTAGTTGCTCGGTTCGTTCAACTCTCTTTATAGTTAACTATTTATTCAATTTTAATTTTTTTATTATTAAAGTATAGTTACATGGAATAAGCAAAATGACTTTCACTCGACTATTTTGGTTGTGGCATTTCTTATTAAAATGATGAGGAAAAGTGTTAATTATTTAAAGTTGTTTTTACTATATTTAATAGGTATGAAAAGAACAAAAAAACGAAAAATCTTAAAAATTATAGGGTTGTACTATTTTAAAATAATTTGAAATATCAAAAAAAATGTTTTTTTTCTATTACTTTTAAAAAATACAAAAATATTATTTTAAAACTATAAAAATAATTAAAAAAATCATTGATTTATTAGTAATTTATATTAATTATTTATTAATTAACTATCAATATTAATACAAATTCATTATAAATAATCAAAAAATATTATTTTTCAATTAGTAAATTTAATTTAAATGAACTACAAATAAAAAACCTTCAAAAATAGTTTAAATAAACTAGAATATAGTGAGTGTTTGTGATTTTGATGGTGGAACGAATATTATATTAGAGGCCAAAAAAAAGTAAAAGAAAAGAGAATTCAGAACAAATGAATTAGAAAGTTATAATTTATTTATAATATTGTTTATTATACATCAAACAAGTGAGTTGTCGAGAACATTGCATATGCAATACACCTTGTTCCAAACTAAACGGACTCCCGTCAACCTCAGCGCAAATTGTTCTTCTTACATTCAGTTGCACGTGTTTTGCCTGACTATAATAAATTGGTTTTAATTCATCCGTCAAACACATTGCGAAGTGCTTAAAACTTGAGAACAAGAATACTTCGATTTCACCGTCGTCTAACAGTGTTTCGTCGCACTCATTATTGTTACCATTAAATGTGTTGATGTTCATAAAGAGGACACCACAGTAACTAGCCAAGTCCACTTGAACTCCGTCGATCAAAAGGTCCAAATACCTTTCCAAGTGTATTTTATGGTCTTTTGATGTCTTAGCTGTGAGACTATAAGCGTCGATACCAATTCCAAAGTATCCCAAGAATTCGATATTATAAGGACTTAGTTCCCAGATGTCTACCCGTGACTCACAACTGTTTTGTATATAGCTGAAAGCCTTATCTAATTTCATAGACCACCCAAGAGCTTTCCCAACATCATTTTGGAGAGTCAGGATCTTCATATTACTATCAAGTAAATGCAAGAAGGTGTGAAGTACACGCAATTCCCCGGAATGTATGAACAGGACATTTCTCGTCACATTTTTCTTAGTAATTTTGATGTTAAAATCGTGTGGGTCGAAGACGAGTTGTCTTGGGTTGACACTTCGGAGTAAAAAGTAGTATTCGTCCGTATAGAAATGACACACAAAAATGTATTGATCAGTCAGATCTGTTGGTCTTGAAATTAAGAAGCCAAATCTCCCACAAGAACAATAGTACGTGATTTTGTCAAGACACTCCGTGTGGACTTGCATGCCACACCAGACACATGTGAACCCGAAATTGGATTGAATTGGTGTTTTACACACAAAACACTTCAAGTGGACGTTTTTAGCACCGTGTATAAAGTGGTGTTGTAAAGCAGAGTTTGTGTCACTCGAATAACACTTTTTGCAATCACGAAGGGGGTTGCAGGTGTCGTGGAAAAAGGCGCCACAACATAAACACTTGCGACAGGTACTTTTAATCCCAAGATTACACAACTGACAAACATCACTCTTTGTTTTGGATTGAACTAAAAGATGTGGTTGGGAAGTCGAATGACTGACTGCAATATACTCTTCTAAGGATTGGGTATATCCTTTGTCTTTTGATTTGATCTCTTCACATGAGGTGTAAGCCTTATCTCGACAGGTGGTGTGAACTATTGTCCCACACTTCGTACATATTAAACCATTTTTCGATGTCACAGAACATTTACACACTGAGCAAAATGATTTCTCTGTTATTGGAAGAAATTGATGACAGGAGAGGGGAATATTTATATGTGGAAAATCAAACGAGTAATACCCACGAACATAGGGAACTCGAATTTCACTCGTCGATAATGGGGGTTTAGAATGCATCACAAAATAGTTATTTTGTAGTTTTTTTTATTAATTAAGTAAATGGGGCATTTTTAATCATTTTATTAGTATATATATATTTTAATTAAAATTGTTAATAATAATATTATTATCAACTAATATACTAATTTATATGAAGATTATTATTTTTTTATTATAAATTGTTACCATTTCAAAAACAATTAATTATTGTACATTTAATAGTTTGAATTAGTTCAACAATACATTTTTTTTAAAGCTAAAAATCATTATTTTAGAAAATATACCCACAATTTATTCCCAAAAATAGTTGGAGTTTAAACCATTTTTAAAAAGTAACAAAATTTTTGCTTTATGTTGAGTTTTGTTATTAAAAAAGTTTCTCAATTTAAATGCCAAAAACATTAAATTATTTTCGTTTAATTAAATAATTAATTAATTAATACTTTGTTAAATTATAAATAGTTAAAAAAATAATTTAACGATTTTTAATTTAAAAATAAATATTTGTAACCATCAATTTGATTAGCCCAACATTATAAAAAATATATATTTTCATATAAATATACTCCGATTAATTAACGAAAAATCAGGAAAAATCCATCATTCAGAAATAGAAAGTCGTAAAGCTTAAAACTATTTTTTATTTGGATTTCAAAACATTATCCCTTTTCTCATCACTTATCAAGGAGGTTGTTCTGTCCAAAAGAAAGCTCATTTAAAACTTAAAAAGCAATGGAACATAAACATAAAGGTGGTGTTCTTGGAAAGACCAAAAATTTTCTGACTTTTTGGAAACGGTCAACAGATAAAAAGCACCTTTCCATTAAACCTTCTGACCTCCTTGTAAATCAGACGTGTGTAATGTCGGATTTTGATTTTGATCAAATTGAGACACTTAGAACAAAGCATTCGCCCTTCGACTTATCGTAACTTTTCCACAACGAATTTATCATGTATTATTCATAGTAACAAATCCTATTATTATTTTTATTTTTACTAAAACTGTATAATTTCGTTTATATACATTCTTTTCAATTTATTATAGTAAAATAATAATAAATTTATAATATTGTTTTACTATAACTTAATTTCTTATTTTCAAATTGTTGTTAAATTTTGCTTTATAATATAATGTTTTTTAATAGTATAATTTATTATAATTTAGTGCACATGTCTTTTTATAGTAAACTACTTACCCATTTTTTATTTTAGTTTTGTTTTAGACTTTAAATATTTCAAAATACAGCTTTTCATTAAAATTCCGACTTTAAAATGTTTTATTTTTAGTTCACATTTCAAGATAAAACACATTTCATTCTATTTTAGTTTTTTCAGTATTTAGCCACAGAACCACAATAATATTAATAATTATTAAAAGGAATACTAATTGAATTGAAACCAACAAAAAATAGTTAAATTAATAATAAATATAGTTTACCTTATTTATCTATCATGACACACATAGCGTCGACGATTTTTGCGGCGTCGAAGGGGTTTGTTTCATTTTTCATCATTCCGGCGTCCACGAATTCCTGGTAGTTTGCTCTGCTTTGAAGGACAAAAGTTGCGACACCGACCCAGTTATTCAAGTCCAAACAATCGTTACTTGCAAAGGTCTTATAGAGAATGAGGCTTGACTGTTCTGCGATAGGGAACCCTAGTGCGACGATTCTTCGCTGGAGCACAAGGTGTGAACTCCCTGGTATTTCGGTGAAGAGCGCATAACATATCTCAAGAAATCTATATATCCCAACGAACTCGTAGATAGTAAGATGGCCAGTTTTTAAACTATCGAAGACCCTCATAAATCTTAAAGCCGTTTGGTTCGACACTTTGATGTTCCCGGGGTATGTCCCACGACCTAATTCGGCTATTTCAAGCGTCCCGGAGCGATCGGTGTCCACCGCATTAAACCAAGAAACTATTTTTGTGAACTGCTCGGAGCGGATCGACTTCACAAGAGGGTAAAACCACATCCCCTGTAACACCGGACTCGGTAAATCCTTCGCTGCAAAATTGGGGTCTTCCCAGGGCGCTTTTGTTTGTGGGATGTTAAAAATGTTCGTTTGGAATTTTGTTTGTCGTGTTGGAAGTGATGGAGCAGTTCCTCGTTTTGGGACGGATGGTAAAGAAACTATTATTTGAGGAGGAGTGGCTTGT